TTGGGTTCCTGTGAGGGTGAGAGAGAAAGGAGAAGAGGAGACACAAACACGCAATACTTCATCCTGACATGTTACTAATGAAGATAGATCACCCTGGAGCGCAGGAATCTGCGATGCATGGAAATGGATGCCCTGATTCCCGAGCAAATGGTTTAAAAGCAGAATAAGGACAATCAAGAGAGCATCCACTCTGGAAAGTCTTTAGGATAATTTTAAATCTCAGAGTTACCAAGGCAGTGAGTGAGAGAGGCATCCAAGCCTGGTTGTGCAACAAAACTGTAGCACATTTCCTCTCTCTCTCTCTCTCTCTCTCTCTCTCTCTCTCTCTCACACACACACACACACACACGCACACACACACACTTTGCTCATGAATAAAATGGGCATCATAGTACCTACATCTTGAATTGTTGTGAGGATGCAGTAAGTTAATACATGGAAAACTTTACCTGGCATGTAGTATATGCTCAACAAATTAGTTATATAGAGTTATTATGCAAATGAGGCTCAGAGGGGGGTTAAGCGTTTGCTCAAGGTCACAGCTCCCAGGAGTTAAGTAGAGATGAGTTTTAGGGTCTGGACTTTCTACTTTTGTTTTCTGCACTGTCCATAACCACCCTTCTCAGATACGATCCAGAAGTTGAACAGCAAATCTCACATTTGCTGTACCCATGAGGTCATTCTGTTTCTAAGGTCGTTTGGCAAATAGAACCTATTATCTGCTGGGTGCAGGTGACATAGCAGCAGCTAGAGGTTAGGTAGATACTAGAGGGGTGTTTAGGGGATTTTATTTTGTTCTTTGGAGGAACTGATGGCATTCAACAGGTATGTGCTGAAGGCCTTCTTGGTGCCAGAACTCAGGCTGGCACTGGGCATCCAGAGATGTCTCAGGATTGGGCTGACCCCAGAGGAGTCCTAGTCTAGAGTGGCTGATGGACCGCACACAACTGAGCTTCAAGTCAGGTGGTCCTGGCATGAAATCGAGACCTCAACAGAGGCTGGTGGAAACACAGAAGAGAGAGACATTCTGTCTGAAAATGGGGTGGAGGAAGTGATCACTGAGCGAGCGTTGAAGGATGAGCAGGGATTTGAAAAGCAGGAAAGGAGGTTGGGGCGAAGATGTGAAAGCATGTAGCATGTTTGAGGACAGCTGGGTGTTGGTGCACAGCTGGGAGGTGGTGAGGGAGGAGGGTAGCTGCAAAGTGGGAGAAAGGGCTGGAAGGAAAGGCGGACGCAGAAGTTAGCAGAGCTGCAGAATGTGGGGGAACTGTCGGTGACGTGGCTGTCCTTGGGGAGTGGCAGTGGAAACCCAAGTTGTGAGAAATTTTTTTCTCTGCAGGTGGGAGCAGAGGCAGAGGGCTCTGGCCTGGGCTGGGGCTCGGAAATCGGCTCTGGCTCTGGTGACCTGGGGCGCAGTGAGGAGCTGTTAAGAGTGAGTATGAGGGGTGACACGGCCTGGTGCCTGATGGCCTTCAGAATGGAGGGAGGGAGGGAAGCAAGGGCGGACACCGGAAGGAACAGATTGCCCACCATCAGTAATTGTTGAGGATGGCGGTGGGCTCCTGGGAGTTCATTATATTGTATATCTTTGTATATATTTCTCCACGTCGATAGTTTTGTTAAGTGAGTATGAGCCTAAGTTTACATTCAGAACCCCCACCTCCCCACTTGCCTCCTTTCCCTGGCAGCCTTTGCCAGCAGGTGTGTCCATGGCCTTCACCTCCACAGATTGGCTCTGCCCCCACCCCGCCCTGTACATTACAGAGACCTTCTGGCCTTTCCTCTGGGCAGCATTTCTCACTTTAGCTTCCAGACTCTTCTTGACATCCTCCCAACCCAGAGGCCACCCCCTCCCTCCTCTCCACTCCTCTCTCCCTCTGGGGTTTCCTGCTTCTCTGGCCTCCTGCCCAAGGCTGGGCCCCCACTAGTCTGTCCCTAAGTTGCCCCCCAGGGAGCACCTCCCTTCAACAGCCACAGTTGACACCATTGTCCCTGCCCTCAACCTCAGCTCCGTCTCTTCCTTGGAGCACCTGTGCTGAACCCCCACACAGATGGCTCCACTCGGCTGCCCTCTGCCCACTCGCCATGACCGGGTGGGAAGGGTTTAGGATTCGCTACTGGGTCTTCCAGGCTGGTGGGATCGGCCGACCCAGACAGAGGCGAAAGAGACCAGCACATTGCAGGAGGCTTTTTAACAACAAGAGTTAGCACAACAGGCAGTGTTTGACTGACCTCTTGATTAATCGGAAAAGTGAGTTAACAGAGCATCTCTGAGGATTCCAGTGAATTGGGTTTTTATTGTGTGCATACACCTGAGGAGAAAACATGATAAAATGGGCGCAGAAAGACCTGGCTTCAAATCCCAGCTCTTCTCCTAATTAGCTCTGTGTGTGACCTTTCAGCAAGTTGTATCATCTCACTGAGCCTGTTTCCTCACTGCTGAGTGGGAACACCAGTCTCTTCTCATAGGGTGGTTGTAAGCAATGGAGAGAATTGATAGAACATATATGCTCAGTATATATTTATCCCCTCCTCTGATGTTTCTTAACAGACTGTCTATTTTTTAGGGTCCCCCGGGCCCCCCGGGCCCACCTGGCTTACCTGGGAGTCCAGGAAAACCGGGAACTGATGTTTTCATGGGACCCCCTGGATCTCCTGGAAAGAACGGAGCTGCCGGTGAACCTGGGCCCCGGGTGAGCTGCTGAAGTCATCTCCCCTCCCTGTGGCCACAGGTCTTCCTTCAGCCAGGGAGGGGCATGCAGACCGCAGACCCCAGACCCCAGTGCTGTCTAAGCTCACCACGGGGAGCGGGGAGCGAGCAGCCAGCTAATGTTTATAAACAAAAATCCTCAGCAAGTCACTGCTAAGACTCATAAGAAGCAGCAGCTAAGAAAAACATCATCCTACACAGTGTTTTGCTGCTTTATTTAGTCAGTGTAGGAAACGCAGACTCACATGGGATCCTGGAATCATAGGACGTCAGTGCTGGGCCTGGGATGGGAGCCCCTCAGAGACCATCTAGTACCCACCCTGCCCCTGATTCCTCCACCGAAGCAGAAACTGGACCCTCGTCCATAGGTGCTCAGCCTCTGCTGGCCAGGACAGGCATTCCGCCATAGACCAGGCACAGGCCTGGAGCAAAAGCCTTACCTGCTGGGTCCTCCCAACCCTGGCCTCCTTGTGTAGGAAGCCTTTGTATTTGATTCTGATCAAGGATGTTGTGGGCTGATTGTCACTGATGTTCTCCAGGGCCCCAAGGGACAGCCTGGACTTGACGGAGCCTCCGGCCGTCCTGGGACAAAAGGGGAGAAGGTAAGGGGAAGGTGGGAGGGTCTAACACATGGAAGCCACCAGGCCCACACTGCCCCTCTCTGACCTCTAAAGCTGACCTTGCATCTTCTGTAAAAGACCATCTCTAATCCCCTCCTGGTCCTCTCTGCTGCTGTCTCCATCTGGGGTTCTTTATGCCAGTCCTGAACTCAGCATCTGCCCTGCCCACTCCTGCATGTCCCCAGCTTCAGTGAAGGGCACTACCAGGTGCCAGTTACATGGATTCAGAAACAGAGTCCACTCTAACTCCCTTCCTCTCCCTTTCCGGCCATGATCTGTCTGGCGCCAGGTCCGGCCAATCTGATGTCCACTTCGCTCACCCCTCTGTCCATCCTGGCCTGACATTCATCTCTCCTTATGCAACTGCAGCATCAGGCTCCTCACTGGTGCCCCAAGCTCCCACCCACCTGCCCGGACCACTTCCTGCAGTGGGTTCCCCTCAGTCACTGCCCTCTCCCGGGAGAAAATATCGTTGTCTCCCCACTGCCCCCAGGAAAAAAACGTAACTATGTGCAGACCCTCGAGGCCCTTCCCGACCTGCCTTTCTAGCTCCACCCCCCACCAGCCCTCAGATGGCCTCCAGGTCAGCCAGCCCTACTGAAATGCTCTTCCCTCACAGCCTCCTGGACTTTGCACATGGTTTTCTCTGTCTCAGGTGTCTTTCCCTCCCTCGTTCTTTAAGGCCCCGTTCAGATATGTCCTCGGGGAAGCTCTCCCAGATTTCTTCCCAGCAGAAAGCACCCCTCCTTTCTGCACGTCCCATTTGCACAGTATTTATTCTGCTGGGACCCTGCTTAGCCAATGACACCATCGCTGTTAGCTTATCTGTCTGCTCCTACCTTCACCCTGACAGAGTCCCAGTGTCTGTGAATCCTTAAAACCTAGCGCAGGCCTTTGTTAGCCTTTGATGAATGGATGCAACTTCTCTCAGGCACCATTTTCATCTTCCATTCCCAGAGCTTTGCATGCCTTCACTCTCTTCCATCTCTGTAAGCCCCCAGTTGCGCTGTGGTGGGGTTCCTGCTCCCCCAGTGTTCCCAGGCTGGTGGATGAGATCAGCCATGTCCCACAAAGGAGGGCAGTAAAGGTAAGATCAGCCTCCTAGTGACACAGCCTTGAGTTTTTCTGGGGTTTGGGAGAGGGTCCCTCCCAGCTGGGAGGCGGGCAAGGGCTTCTGTATACCCTACCTGGCTGCTAGATACAGCCATCCTCACTGAGCTGAATTTCCAGTTTCTGTCAGTTTTCAAGTGTGTTTATTTTAATTGAACCAGTAACTGGATTTTCGTGGAAAGCTCATTTCTCAGAAAAAAGCAGAAAGAAATAATTGACAAGCTTTATAGAACTCATTTTACATGTACCAACTCTTTCATAAGAAATTAAATTTTGCAGGAAACATCACAGACCTACACTCATCTTCCCTGTTCTTACCAGCTTCCCCCACCCACCCCCACACACTCGTCTGGCACTTAAAAATACCCACGCCCATATCCGCACACATACATCCCGCACACACACATCCCGCACACACACATCGCAGCGGCTCAGCAGCTGCTCAGGGAAGCAGCCGTGCCGGAGCAGCAGGCTTGCTCAGATGTAATTGTTGAAGACAAATCACGTTTCCCCCTGAAGTTTGCTATGAGTCCTAATTTTGTCACACTGTGTATGCATATGCTGCTTCCTGGTGAAGTAAAAGCAGAAGCAAACTCTAGAAGGACTTGCAAATTTGCATCTGGAGAGCTCAAGGGGAAACTTACACGTGACATTTACCTTAAAAAAAAAAAGAACAACCAAAAAAACAAAAGGTAAACCAAGGAGCATGGTCTGGATGTAAAATAATAAAATCATGCTAAAGAAAAGAATAATTTCAGGGATATAACAAAACAAAAGATTCAATGATACAGTTTTAAATATATAAGATTTGCAAATAATTTGTGGTCTATTCTCAGCAATGTCTTAGTCATTTTTAGTCATTGAGGGTTTAAGATAATTAAAAAAAATTTTTTATTGATTTAGGAGAGGAAGGGAGAGGGAAAGAGAGATAGAAACATCAATGATGAGAGAGAATCATTGATAGGCTGCTTCCTGCACACATCCCACTGGGGATCGAGCCTGCAACCCAGGCATGTGCCCTGACTGGGAATCGAATCGGTATCTCCTGGTTCACAGGTCAACACTCAACCACTGAGCCAAGCCAGCTGGGCCAAATGATACCTTTGAGCCTCCACAATATCTGTTCTTCAGCTTGCACACCTCCAGTGACAAGGGACTCATTTCTTGCCCAGGCAATGCCTCCCATGGACACCTGGGAAAGGTCTTCCCTCATGCTATGAGGAAATTGGCCTCTGTTGTCATTTGCAGGGCAAGTTGTCTGAAGTGGGGTTTTCCCCCAAACAATAAGGTCCAGTTTATTAATATAATCATTATTTTCAAATATGGGGTTGTACTCCTTCCTGGAGTAGATGAGGAGCAGCCTGCTTTCTCAGATACAGATGCTTCTGGAAAGTATGCTGAAGAACTTGCTGGAGATGGGCCGCTAGAAAATCCCTTTCTGCTTTTTTTGCACTGTCCGGGTCTTCAGCATCTACCTACAATTAACAGAGTCATTCTTTCCCTTCTTTTATAATCTGTGTTTTGTTGTTGTTAATCTTCACCTGAGGGCATTTTTTTCCCATTGATATTTTAGAGAGTGGAAGGGAGGGGGAGAGACAGAGAGAGAGAGAAACATCGATGTGAGAGAGACACATCGATTGGTTGCCTCCCCCACATGCCACTATCAGGACTGGGGATTGAGCCTGGAACCGAGGTACATGCCCTTGACTGGATTGAACCTGGGACCCTTCGGGCTGATGCTCTATCCACTGAGCAAAGCTGGCTAGGGCATTTCTTTCATAATCTGAATCATTCATTGTCTTCTTCAGTCTCCAAAGATACCAGGACACCCAGGTAGAAAAGAGTTTGTCCTTTGACATTTTCTTCAGTGCCCAGAATTGCTGAGGAACGTGAAGCTCTGAGAAAGTGGCCTTGAGTAATCTCACTGAGCTGCTGAAATGTCAGTGTTTGCATTATCTTTTCCACAATGTAAGAGAAGTGTGAGTAAATCATCATTACCTTCCCTTTAGCCACATAATCCCAACTTGGTCCTGAGCAATTCTCTGAGTCTTGTATAATAAAGAGCAGGGTACTTACTTCTCTAGACCCTGAGCAGCCCGCAGCTCTTGACTAGGGTCCAGTCATGGGTTTAGAGCTTGTAACAGCATATTTCAATTAAACATTCTACTATTGGCCTGAGTTCACATTTTATACCTTATTTCAGCATCAGCCATGTTTGGTGCAAAATCAGGATTGTAGGCCTCCATGAAACTAAATAAACCACAGTCCCTTGTCATTGTAGCGTGTTGAAGTTATCGTTATAACAAACACCATGAGCAAAACCAACAGGCACCCACAGGCACTAAGCTGTGCTGTCTCAGAAACCACAACAGATAAAATAAAATAAAAAATCCATGAATTTATTCGTTTTTTTGATGTTCCTGTGTGAGGAAGTCTAGTAACGACCTTAGCAAATCCCGTCACCATGATGAGCTGATATGATAATGATTCTAAACCATGCTTTTGCCATATGCAGCAGTCCTTCCTGCAACTGGTTCTGTCCCGAGGTTTCTGTTGTATAACTGGTCTCTCCATACTTCCTCGTCACCACTAGACTTGCAGTCGTGCTGGTTGGAATTCCAAGATAGTGCAGAGCCTCGAGGCACAATTCTCTCAGGAAGGAACGAAGTACAGTTCTACCACCACCGTTTGGGGAGTATGGGGTCTTTGCTGACCTTTTTCCTTGGGGCTCCCGCTTTTCACTCTACCTGTTCGTGTAAATTCCAATAGGAAGAGCTCGTCTATCCCCAACCTGATCTGCTCATATTCCGAAGTGGTGGCTCCCGAATCTGTGAGCTGGTGGAATGGGCCCAAATACTGTCTCTCCACACGCAGAGCCTCTGTAACCTGATTCTTTATGTAGTTCTCTCTCCAGGAGTATCTCTCCTATTATTCTGACCTTATTGAAATAACTCTTATTGTTCTGTTTTTTCTTCCAACAGTTATATATTTTTATTTCCAAGATCTCTACTTGATTCTTTTCCATAACCGCTGTTCTTATTTCATAGTAGTTTGTTTCACGATTGTAATATCCTCCCTTTTCTCCCTGAGAATATATATCACACCCTTCAAGTACTGATTGGATTGTGTTCTTTACTCTGTTCCCTCAGGCATACATTCCATTGTTGGCGTTGTTGCCTTCCCTCAGATGTATGGTGTTTTTATTTGTGGGTTTGTTTTCAACATTGGACTCCCTCTTGGTCTGTTTTCTGTGTGTGTTTTTACAGATTGTTAGGTTGTTAGGCAGTAGCTACGATTGGGACATCCGGGTTTCAGGAAGGGGATGGGAGGAGTAGGATGTGCCATCAGGCAGGTACCTCAACAGCTGATCTTATGAGTTTGGGGTACCCCTAGACTTCTCAGGGTTCCTTAGCCCCTGGGCCTCTGCCCTATCTTTTTGTTCCAGGAAATAACTCTTGTTGTTCTTGGACTGGCAGTGGGAGTGGGAGGCGAGGGGAGATAGGCAGGGCTCCTTGGCTGTGCCTTGCTCCAGAATTTCAACCATGTCCCTGTCAGAGCCACACCCTCCTCCTGGCTTCCACCACCACTTTGCCCAATACTTTTCTCCCCTGGTTTCCCTCTATGACTGGAGCCTCTGGCTTTGGCTTTCCACCTGTTTTCGCTTTGGCATTCTTCACTGTTTCAGATTCAATGTGACTCTCCATCTGATTTTTGAGCATGGCTCTTTTGGAACTATCCACTCCGCCATTTCTATGGAATGGGTGTAGAAAGGGAATCTAGCCCAGGGAGATGGGACTGGGGAGAAGGGCAGTACATCATAATCAGGTGTCAGGGCCTTCTGTGTGGCCCTGAATTGCTGGCTCCTTCCCTTGAGGGTGCTTTTGAGGTTTCCTCATGATTCCCCAGAGAGAACCCCAAATGCAGTCCCCTAATGTAGGACAGTGTCTCCTGGGGGTGGACATGCAGCCTGCTTAGTGCAACACCT